ACTGCTGGTGAGAATGCAAATTGGTAAAGGCACTATGGAAAATAGTACAGAAGTTCTCCCAAAAAATTAAAAATAGAAATACTAAACCTATAATGAAAAAGAATATGAAAACAAACATATGTATGTATATGCATGACTGAAATATTAAGCTGTACACCAGAAACTGACACATTGTGACATCAATCAATCAAACAAACATATTGTACTAAAAAAAAAGAAAGGAAATACCATATAATCCAGCAATTCCATTCCACTTTTGGGTATTTTTCCAAGAAAACCAAAATACTAATTCAAAAAGATATATGCACCCCTGTGCTCATTGCAGCATTATTTACAGTAGCCAAATATAGAAGCAATCTAAGTGTCCATCATTGCAGCACTATTTACAATAGCCAAATAAGGAAGCAATCTAAGTGTCCATCGACAGATGAATGAATAAAGCTATGCGTATACACACACACACACCCACAGTGGACTATTACTCAGCCTTAAAAAAGGACAAAATCTTGCCATCTATGACAACCTGGATAGACCTAAAGCACGTTACACTAAGTGAAATAAGTCAGACAGAAAAAGACAAATACCATATGATTTCACTTACATGTGGATCTAAAAAACAGCAAATGAACAGACATAACAAAACAGAAACACATTCAGATACAACCAACCCTCTGATGGTTGCTACAGGGGAGGGGGTTGGGAGGGTGATGAGTGAAATTCGTAAGGGAGATTAAGAGGAATAAACTTCCAGTTACAAAATAAGTAAGTCAAGGGAATATAACATACAGCATAAGGAATATAGTCAATAATATTGTGATAACTTTAAATGGTGACAGATGGTAACTAGACTTACTGTGGTGATTATTTCGTAACATGAAAATATCAAATCACTGTATTTTACATTTGAAAATAATATAATATTGTGAGTCAATAATGCTTCAATTAAAAACAAAACTAATCATAATTAGTAAAAAATAAATTTCAATTAAAAATAAAATAAAAATTTAAAATGTCATTCTATTGGTGAGACTGCAAGGAAACAGAACTCTCTTACATTACTGAGAGGAATTCAGCAACTTCTAACAAAAGTATAAATTTATTCACCTTTTGACCCAGCAATTGCACTTCTAGGAGTTTCCCTTGAAGATATACCTCCAAACATACAAAAATACTCATGTACAAGGTTATTCATGATAGCATCTTAGTAACTATAAAATATTGGTGATATCCTTAATGTTCACACCAAGGTAAGTAGCTAAACAAATTATGATATATCCACACAATGTAGTATAACAAGCAGCTATTTAAAAAAATGAGTAAGATTACTATTAATTGATACAGTGATTTCCAAGATACATTAGCAAACAGAAAAAGCGAAGTGTAAAAGAGTATCTATAGTATGCCATAGATATAACCACTACTTTGTTTAAAAAGAAACAGGAAAGCTAAAGCACAAACTAACAGGATTAGTTACCCAGGGAGGTGATTTGGAACAGGAGAGAAGGAAGAAAAGGGCATGATATTTCTCTGTGTACACCTTATAGTACAGTGCTGTCTTTTGGAATCATATTAATGTTTCATATACTAAAATAAAGGCGAAGAGACCAATAAGTAAATACAATTTTAAAAACTGAATGGGAATAAAAAATCTAAAATAAAATATAAACAGAAACAAATAAACCTAACTCTTTGGAGAAACTAACCATAATGAATTGGGGGGGAGAACCAAAAACCCTAGAGTAAAGATAAAAAGAACCATAAAAAATATCAAGCTCTGTAAGTTTGTTTTCCACAGTGGTACCTATCAACAACTCTAAAACTACTTTCTGTGTATTCTAGAATTCAGGAAATTACAAGCAAATATATTGTGAGTAATAGTAGGTTTCTCATCGTTGCAACATGAAATGATACAATATACGTCACAACTTGAGTACTTCATGAAGAACATAATAAAAATTATACTAAAAAGCATATCATCTAATTACTCTATAACTTATCCATGGAAATGTGCAACAAACTTCACATATTTGATCTTGCTCCTCCTGCCGCCCCCTAAAACATGCTTCATCTTTCAATTATTTTTTAGACACATAACAACAAAGTTGTCTGGAAGGTTTTGTCTTTCCATGACCAAATTCACTCTTTTCTATTAAGAAGCACAGAGATCATTAACAACATACCTTTAGATTTAGAATCACATTGGACTTTTTTTTTTTAATTCACTATAGTTGACCCTTGAACAACATGGGTTTGAACTGCAAGGGTCCACTTTTAAGCAGATTTTTTCCAATCAGTACAGTACTACAAAGATCTGCAGTTGGTTAAGTACATGGATATGGAAACATGGATACCGAAGACCAACTATGGGATCTGAGCATCCTCAGATTTTGGTTTCTGCAGCAGGTCCTGGAACCAAACCCCTGCAGATCCTGGAACGAATGTACTTACATCTTCTCTATTTAAATTAAAGTGTTGATTAACTAAACTGTTCAAGGAGTGAGTTGTTCAACTTTCTTGAAAACAAGATTAACCTAGGAACTCATTTAGTTTAAGTATTTTGAAGAATAAATCCCTAGAATACATTTTCCAAAATAATATCATGTATAGAACATGAATGAAGTATTTTCTGAAAATTTAGGACTTCTTAGTGCCTCTGGATTATTTAGTTATTGCAGTTAAATGCAGAAGTAATTGTCAATGCAAGCAGCTGAGAAGTTGCTATTTTGAGTAAACTTCTGAAGTCATTTCCTTATGTATAAAATGAAGGTATCACCCTGCATGACAGCCTGAAAGAGTTACAAAACTCAAAACATTTACTAAAATGCATATGTGCTGGATAGTTTGTTGCTGACTAGACATCACTGCCATTCCTTTTAAGGTCTCCCTTCATTGCAAAAGAGAAGAAATTTATGTTTCCAGATTCCCTTCTGGCGGCAGTTGTAGGTAGATACTTGGGTAGAGAAGCAGTTCCCAGGTAAGCAGTTTATTGAGAACCATCCACTTTGGTGCTACAGACCGAGTTTTTAAGATTTCCAGTGACTTCTGAGAAAACAACCAGCTTCCGTGCTTCAGGCTGAAATAATCAGTAACAGCTTCCCTAATTCTCTGAGCCCTTCCAAAGGTTATGTAAGCTTTTAACTCCCCACGTTAAAACTTCGACACTTGGAATTGAGTGATCTGTATCTTCCTAATCAAACTGTGACAGACTGATAAAGTGTATGTGAAAATACTCTACAAACTGAAAAATCAAGACCATGCAAAGGATGGATTATTATTTCTGTTCCCAATGACAGAAAATTTCAGTTGAAGTCGTTTTCTGGTAATCAGCCTCTTTTTAGACAGATCAATACGTCCAAAAAAAAGCTTTCCTTCTACAAATCAATAAAATAATAAAATTTTTCCTTGCTACAAAAATCAGTTCTTTAGCTAATTTCATTTCCCCAATTAATCAATCAAGGCATGTTTACCAAGCAAGGCTTTGTGTTAAGTACTAAGAGATTCTCCTGCAAGAGTTCACAATATATGAAAATAACAAAAATATTTGTAATATAACTGTTACATATCAGAAACCAAATGTGATGATAGGCCAGAGAAAGTATGGGTTAAATTTGACTTGGGAATAAAAAGATAAAAATCAAAAAAGGATTTAAGGAAGAAGAGAATTAGAGGTTAAACAGAAATGAACACCAAAAGGTAGGAAGACTTAGAGTAGAGATAATGTAAGAAACTGGAATAGCATGCTTAAAGAAACAAAGCTAGCAACTCAAGGACATGTATAGAGAACAAAGGCATGGAACAAAGAGTGGCCTGCTTCTAGGTGGAGTGTATAGAAAGGAGAGGAGGCTGAGGCCAAATAACACAAGGCCAGAAAAGCTAAACATCTGGACTTTACTGCTATCATCCAACTTCAGATTCACAGAGACATTTATAGAATTTTAGGCCTAGATAATAAAATCAGGCTGTTAATATACCCCACAACTAGAGCCTAATAGTAGTAAGAACTGAGCAGAGGAAAGAAACTTATCTCTCTAAAAAGCTGTTTTTATTTCTAACATTCTTCTGCTCAAAAATCGTCAATAACTTCCAAAAACCTCTTTTTATCAAGTCAACTCCACACCATGGTCCCATCCTATTCAACCATATTTTCTAGCATTAGCCAAAATGTACAACTCTTTCCAGACAGGCTTTGCTCTGTATTATTGGCCCTTGAGCACAGCCAGAAAATGCAGGTAAAGTAACATCATGTATTCATCTGCTCAGGCTGCAATAACAAAACCATAGACTGGCCAGCTTAAATAACAGAAATATATTTCTCACAAAGGCTGTAAGTCCAAGATCAAGATGCCAGATAATCTGGTTCCTGATAAGGGTTCTATTCCTGTTTTGTAGACAGTTACCTTTTCACTGTGTCCTCACTTGGTCTTTCCTCTGAGTGCGCAGCTCAAAGAGAAATATCTCTCTTCCTCTTCTTATAAGGCCACCAGTTCTACTGGATTAGGGCCCCACCATTATGACCGCATTTAACCTTTATTACCTCCATAAAGACCCTATCTCCAAATACATTTATACTGGGTGTTGGGGTTTCAACAAATTTAGGGGGGACAGATTCACTCCACAACACACTGGGTTATTACTGAGGCTAGATCTTAAGAGATTTTTGCAGTTTCTATTCTTATCTTCTTGAAATACTTTGTTTCTCATGTGAAAAAGCCCAGCCATTCCTACTAGAGGAAGAGAAGCCACAGGAAAACTAAGGTCCCCCAGCCAACAGCCCAAACTAAATACCAGATACATGAATGAGCCACAATGGACCATCCAGTTCCAGTCAAGCTATCAGATAACTAAAACCGCATGAGTGACCCCAGGTAAGACTAGCAGAAGAACTGCCAGCTGAGCTCAATCAAAATTGTAAAATAGTGAAAAAACAAATGATTATTGCTTTAAGTCACTAAATTTAGGGACAGTTTGTTACAAAGCAACAAATATCTGATATGGCATACCTTCTTGTTCTGCTCTTTGACCTAGACCTCTGAACTCTATAGGATTTCCCTCGACCTCTCGAACGACTTCGACTTCGTTTTCTTCTAGAGCCATAAGAAGAACTACTGCTTGAACGGTGCCTGCGTCTGAAATAAAATATAATCAAGTATTATTACTATAAAACATCTGTATGGGCATTAAGGAGAAATTATCCAGATTCGAAAGAATCATCTCATTTTTACTATGTCTGACTCCTTAGAAGCAAACAGATAAAATGTTACTCCTCTTGAACAGTCAGAAGACTGATTCATAATTTATATTGGATTAGCTACTAATTAAGACATTAGGGGTCTTAAGTAGTATACAATCCTTCCAAATATTATTAGATAATATGGTATGAGAACTATATCAGTTTATACCTACTCGTTTACAAAGAACAGACAAAAGATTAAGATGTACAGGCTGGGCCTAGGGGCAAAAAAAAATCTTTTGGTTGGGACCTAACCCTCATAAACATATAACTACTAAAAGAAAAGTGTTTTATTTATTCTACAATTTTGAAATAGATAAACAAGATTATATTGTATAGCACAGGGAAATATACACAAGATCTTATGGCAGCTCACAGAGAAAAAAATGTGACAATGAATATATATATGTTCATGTATAACTGAAAAATTATGCTTTATACTGGAGTTTGACACAACATTGTAAAATGATTACAAATCAATAAAAAATGTTAAAATAAAGAAAGAAAGAAAAAAGAAAAGTGTTTTACCCAGAAAAAATTAAAAGTACAAAAACATTTTTTAAAAAGTACAAAAACATATGAACTCTAAAGAATACTACTCTCATTACCATATAAGTAAAATTATGCAAATCACCTTCTGTCATAAGAATGTGAGCGAGACTGAAGATCTCTGGACCAAGATCTTGACTTTGACCTTGATTTTCTTCCACCTTTCTTTCGGCTATATGTCCTACTATCTGAAGAACTACTTGAAGAAGACCGTCTACGGTGTTTCTTTTTTCTCTTGCTTCTGCTTTCTTCTTCAGTATCTGAAGACCGGCGTCCCATTTCTAAAGGTTTAAATTCAAAGAAAATTATTCTGACATAATGGAACAGTGGATGAAACTTAATATAGTATTTTTTTTACTCTATAAAAATTTTAAATGTTTTATTTAAAGCAAAATGACAACATATGAGAAACAGCTCTAGTACATTCTTCTAGTATTTTTAATTAACTGTTTTTATAATTTATGAATAATGTAAACTTGTCCTAAATTTTTTCAAATGTCTCTTAAAAGAGTCAATCCTAAGGACAGTTCATTATAACAATTTTCTTACCATTTAAATTGCACTTATTGTTAATTATATGACATTTGGTTTAGGGATCAACTACCTAATTCTATATTCTCACATTCCCAAAGATAAAAGATATTTTACTATCTTTTAGTTACATTTTTCTAACTGAAAATTCTAAAATTTTAAATGGATAAGACCTCATTAATCATCACCAAAGTACAAACTGAAACAATTAACTATAATCACTTCACTTGTGAAATTTGGGGAAGGAAATGTTGACTAAAGTACCAAAGCTGATGATGTACTATAAACTAAGTACTAAACTTGAAGTCACCTCTTCACACTGCTAGTACCTATATAAAGTGGTGATATAATGCTTTCAAAAAGCAATTAAGCAAGTTAAATAAAGAGTTACAAAAATGTTGATGCTTTTTTAACAAAGCAATCTCATTTCTAGGAATATAGCTGAAAAGTTTTTCTTGAAAGATATTCATTATAGCATTATTTAAACCTGTATGTACAGAGATTACAATTTAAGAAAATATGTATACTTGAGTAAGAGCAAAAATTAAAACAACTGGTAATATTTAAGCGGTGAAACTGGGTAATTTTTTTCTTTTTAACTGTGTTCTATATGGCTATGATTATATTTGTATATTTAGTATACAAAAGGAAAAAACATACAGAAATAAACCCTCGGTTTTTATAATTCGGTATTAGCTTAGCTAAGAAGCCTATTTGTCTTAAAGTTAAAAGGAAGATTCATCTCATGTAATGGTTAAGATAGCTAATGATCAGATAAACAAAACTCTCACATTTTCCTTTAATATTTATTCAAAATAAGCTAAATAGCCCTACCGTAAAGAAAGCAGTATGTTTAACTACAGCTTTGTTTTCAGAATCAGGTGAGCCATACCTTCCCTGAATCCAATGCAATCCTAATTGAAAACCACTGTTAGGACTTAATTCAAAACTTAAAGCTATTTATCTAGAGCCAGAATTAGACTTTAAGTATAGTCTGAATCTCCAAGCTGTTCAGATTTCTACATTTTGTAGTTCAACAGAACATTGGGAAGACTTGGTCTTGAATCGTTAAATCACTAACATTACCTAAGGCAGTTTCCTCACTGAAAATGAAACTGCACTGCGTATAAGATCACTATGATCTTTTCCAACTTCAAAATACTATGATTATGAAATCCCACATATGCATAGTATACATGTATATATATTTAAATATGTGTATGTAATATCCACTTATATATTTATATTATATATAATATATAACCATATATCTCTGTGTATGTGTGTGTTTTCATTAAGGAATCTGTACATAATTGGGTAACAATGATCATCTAAGTTTTCTTATTTCCTGTCTTTTTCTTACTTTCTTGTTTTCACCTTTAAACAGTTAAGAATTTTCTTTACCCAAAAATAACCACTTAATTAAGGTGAGTTTTTATTATGTTCTTATTATCTGATTTTAAAAATACTAAAATGAGAGTAAAGGATAAAAAAGTATGAGTGCACCAGGATAAAAAGACCAGAATAGAAAACAACAGGAAGACAAGTAGACAAGATATGTCAACAAATTTTTAGCAAATGAAAAACAGATGCAGGATTTAGATTAAGAAAACTGAATACCCAGCAACTTTAGAGAATTCCAAGAGGAGAAAAGCCAATTTACATAGCAAAAATCAGAAAGGATCAGGAATTTGAGACACTAGATACCAGAGCTGGCACAATGAGGCATGGAACTAAAAGACAAGGGAATTGGTTGAAATCTGTAAAAGAAGTAATCTCCCAGGTCCCCTCCCCCATCCAACCTAGATAGGTGACTATTATTCCCCATTCCCAGCAGGAAAGATGGTTTATTTTGGAAAAATGACGAAACACCAGGTGAAGCACCAGGTCCAGGAGCACAGTAAAAGAGGGCAGAGTGATGCCTGACTAAAAGTTAAAGGGATTAAGTGAAAGTCTACAATCTAATAGCAAATACTATAGCGCTCTGTGTGCTTAGATCCACCACTTTGAACAGAGGATTCTTTTCTGAAAAAACTAAACAGTACCTAGAAGAAGATATATAAATATTTAAAAGGTCTCCCCAAAAAAAGGCCAAGCCCTCACCCAATCACCCTATATCCAAGCCCACAGTTAAAAAGCCCAAGCCTTAAACACAGTAAACTTTTTTGTAAAACTTTTTTCTGATAACTTTTCAGTAATTATACAACAAAAGAAAAACAATCACAGGATGAAAGCCTTCATCATACTAGACAGAAACCAAACAGGAAAAAAAAAAGCAACTCATAGTAAACCAGGAACAAGCAGAAGAATAGTAGGAACATCCATAGAAAAGGAGACAAAGCTTAAAATTTAAACAAATGATACTTTGTAAGAAATACAATACAATTAGAAGATACTACCAAAGGACTCATGGAAAGTAGAAAGAAAAAGATAAAAAATTGGAGGTAAAAGAGTATCAATCCAGAAAGTACAATATCCAATTGACAGGCATTCCAGGAAAAAAAAAAAGAAAAAAAAGAACATAGAAAAGAGATAAAGAAAAATATCCAAAGAATAATTCAAAACAATTTCCAAAACTGAAAAACAAGAATTGCCCTAAATCCCTGGGACAATGAATTAAAAAAAGACATATACTAGACATACCTCATTAAAACTTCTGACACCAGGAATATAAAGAAGACCCTAGAAACTTCTAAAGATTCAAAAAGAAAAAGGAGAATCACAATAAAAGGCATCAGGCTTCTCAGTAGCAATATCACAAACAATGGAGACTTGCCTTCAAAATTCCAAATGAAAATTATTTTCAACCTAGAATCTATATCCAATCCAATCAGAGATCTAATATTAGATCAGAATAAAGACATTTTCAGATATGCAAAGGCTCAAAATTATACCTCACAGTCACTCTCTTTTAGGGAAGTACTGAAGGATGTGCTCCACCAAAAGGAGAGACTAAACAAAGATGATCTACATTCAGAGAACAAGTGACTTAACACTCAAGATAGGTTAAAGAAGTCCCAGAATGATAGCAGGGATACATCAATGAACAAGACACAAAAAAAATCCTTGCCCTCAAGGAGCTTACATTCCAGTATAGGAACAGTTCTCAAAATGGGTTCTAGAAGCCCCTGAGGGGATCCCAAAGGCCTCAGGGGATCCAAAAAATCAGAACTATTTTCATTATAATAGTAGCATAATTTACCTTTTTCACTGAGTTGACTCTTGCACTGATGATGTAAAAACAATGACAAAACTGCTGGTGCCTTAACAGGAATCAAGGAAATGGACCAAACTGTACTAGCAGTCATTGCATTCTTCACTACAACACATAGTTTTGTTTTTTCTTTAAAGGGGTGGGGGGGGGCAGTTTCACTTAGAAATGTACTTGATAAAGCAGTAAAAATCATTAATTTTATTATATTTCAACCCTTGAGCACACATTTTAATATTTTGTTTGATGAAATAGGAAATACACATAACTACTGCTGCAGACTGAAGAATGATGTTTATCTTGAGAAAAGCATTTGTGCAACTAAATTAAAAGTCGAACTAGCTGCTTTTATCATGAAATACCATTTTTAAAGAACTGACTATATTCAGACTTGGGTATTTGATAGTCATTTTTCTAAAAATGAATGGAGTCATTTACTTCAAGGAAAACTGACATTATTTGTTGCCAATGATAAAATTTGAGCTCTCAGGCAAAAATTACAATGTTGGGTAACTTGTATTCACCACCATGAGACTGAAAGCTCCTCTGAACATAAAGATTTCTCTGATGAGATCAGCAGTGATATTAATAAATGTGAATTTTTAAACTATTATATAATGAAGGGTGTCAACATCTGCAAGATATGCGTGTCAGTGAACCAGTATTTTCCAGTAGGCCAGTGCTGTACATGAATGTCACAGAATCATGTACGAGTGAAAAATCCACTCACAGTGCAAGACAGACCAATAGATTTTAATGTATAGAGCATGAAAAGGTCACTGATATAGTTTCAAATACCACATTGCAACCAACCTTTAAGAAACTACTACTTGACGAGTTTTGGTGTATTAAAGAAGTAGTTACCAGAAAAGGTTACTAAAATATTGCTTTTCCAACACCGTATCTGGGTGAATCCAGATTTTCTTCATATACTTCATTCAAAACAACTCATCCCAAAAGACTGAATGCAGAAGCAGATAAAAGAATCTGTCTTCTATTAAGCCAGGTATTAAAAATTTGCAAAAATGGAAAATAATGCCACTTTTCTCACTAAGTTTGTTTTGTTTTGGAAAATATAGCTATTTTTCATATCAAATATGTTATTGATGTTACCATATAATGGATTTATTATCACTATCTTAAGTGGATTAATAAATATTTCAAAATTTTCTGTTTTAAGTACTAGGAGAGCAGTATTTCTAGATACAGCCCATACAGATAAAAAGTTCCTGGGGGTCCTCAATAATTTTTAAAAATGTGAAGGGATCCTAAAACTAAATACTATGAGACCCACAACTCTAAGGTACCTACAGTCATTTCCATCCTCCATTATGTCCAGCTTAAGTCTCTGTATAAGGCGTAAAGAAGCAGAAAAGAAAGAAAAGGACACACATCTAATTATGCATCTTGCCAGTGACCAAAAAAGAGAGAATTAGAGGTGGGTATAAATTTTTCTATGTTTTAATTTCAAGTAACATAATTCATCCATATTAGAATGATTACACTTAACTCAGAAAAGCTAATGAAAGATATAAATGGAAGATC